ATTCAAATTAAGAATTGTTTCATCGTTTCTGATTCCAAATTATGACTAGATATTTTGCTTCGTTGAAAAGAATGTAAATCATATACGGTACCAATTTTGATGCACCGGACGCAGGAAATCAGTTTCAGAGATGGGTAGTCCTCATTATATAGGCAAAAAAGATGACCTCGTAGAACGTCACGGAGCAGCAGTTAACCATACAATTTTGTGTTGTACTCTGGAAAACTTCAGAAAAAAACTCTGAAAATGCCAGAGGAAGTAGGAAATATGTCAAAAGCAAGTCATGTGTGTGTATATGGTACAAGCGATATTTGAATGTTAGACCACTCTGCTTAGACGATGGTGATCTGTGAGAAAACGGATTGTCTGTAAAAATCTTATCAAAAACATTGAAAAGTTAGTAACGTCATGCTAAGAGTTTGGCGCTTCACATATGCTGATCTTGTGAAAGCACACTTATGCAGTGAAAAAATTATAATATTGTCAAACAAAATGATGCTACTGGAACAATTGTTAGCAAAACATATTTCAGGTGATAAAGAAACGTTTTAAATGAGTACACTGGTATTGGGCAATACTGTGTGAAATGTATAGAGATAGTATTTTTGAGAACCTCATGTCGGTATGTTTTTGACGTTACGGTGTTGTTGAGTTTGCTCTGTGGTTACAAAACGTGTTCATTTTAAAATTAAATAACATGAATTCTATTGAATAACATGGAATGAAACGTCACACATAAACAAATAAAGATTTGTTCATATGATAATATGCTCATTTTAAAAAATTCTTGAAGATAGTATAACGAAGATTGGCATAGTCCACGAACATTCCGAACGACCCTCGTATATCGATTTGGTAGAGATTTGAATTGTAAAAATATTTAAAATTTAGTGTTAATGACGAGAAAAAATTTGTTTAATACCGTCTCTTACCCTTTGATTTATAATACTGTACACAACAGGGTTGCTTGCATTAGAGAGAAAAAAGAAATAACGCAAAATAAAAATCTTTGATATGTTAAATATGGCAAAGAAAAACGGAATCCATGAAATGAAATAAATTAAAGTGCAAACGAACAGCATTGTCCATGTTTTTGTTCGCACATACGATGTGTTGTTTATTTTATAAGACAGTTTGGTTCTCCTTGAAACAGAGGGTTTATTATCATTGCAGTCACTTTCTATAGAATTCCTTTGGCGATTTATCTCTTCCAGAACAGTAACAGGTTGATTTTTCCTATCATTCTCCTCGCTTCTTTTCGTGGACAATTTTTTGATTCGCTTTTTTTGTTTATATATCAGTACATATACAGAAGAATAAATCACTATAAGAAACAATAGTCCGAGAGATATCAGGACTGATATAAAACTTCTGTATATCTCACTAGGCTTCTCTCCTAAAGTGGCCGTGGTGTACTGACAATATTCCGTGATTGTGCTGTTATTATCCGTACGTTTCACTTGAAATAAGGCAGCTGTTGGACCAGCCATAATGAACGAGATCAGAAGGAAAACCAGTAAAATGTTGCGCTTTGTTTTCTGTGAAAACTTATTATTGGCCCTCCAAACCATTCTTAATCTCTCTGTGGCAACAACGAGTAAAATGACATTCGAAAATATAATGGCACCGTGACGACATACCTCCATAAAGCGACAAAGAACATCGTTTGTAACTAAACTGAATTCAAAAAGTACAGTGTATGGCATTAAAAGCCCACTCACAAGCAGATCGGAAATAGCAAGAACTTTGATGTATAGGAATTCTCCAAATAAACGTTTCCTAGTGAAATAGACGAGTAAGATTAGAATATTCCCCACTAAACCGAAAGTGGCAAACAATGAAATGCATAACACGAGGGAAACTTCATTAAAATCCCAATTCCTGACCATGGCGAATGAATAAAATTATTTTAAAAATTATTGTTCCTCGTGAAGATCGAAACCTTCTCTTCTAAATTTACAAGTCAATTTTATAAAGGTAATAGATGACAAAAATCAATAAAGCCAATACTGAAATAGAGACAAGAATCAATCATTGGACAAGGATTAGGTTCATTATCGGCAGTACACGCCTATTTATTTAACGTGCAAGTGCCCCACTGGGAACTTCTGTGCGTCACTGAACATTTCTTGTCACATAACTAAGCTTTAATTACTCACTGACATTACAGTCAATATAATCACAGTAAAGGAAACAAAAGACATGACAAACATATATTCAGGGAGTAGGCATTAATTATGATCTCCGAACAATCTAACCCAATTCATGTACATGTACAATGTAATATTTAAAGAAAACAGTCAACGTTTATTTTCTCTGTCACTCATTCACTCTTTCCCCCTCTTTGCTTTTTATTGTATATGATAAAATGGCATTTCGAAGATACGAAAACTACGGAATGTTAAAAAAAATGCATGTTGGCTCAGGAACATACAATACGAACATACAATTCGTACTAAACAGCGTATCTTTGCAATGGTGAGAAATACTAAAAATACCAAAAATTAAAATTCTGGACTACAAAGCTTAAAAGCAGAAACGAGGTTTAAACAACCGATCGCAAAGAAAGTCAAATTTAAGAAATGCAACATTTTGAGAATTTTTTTTATTAGAAAAAGGGTAATTTGATATGGTTAGCGTCAAATTACAATAAATGACCAAGAGTCTTATGAACCTAAACATAATCATCCCCAATTAGTTTATGTATGACAATAACAAACTACTAGTACATTGAGTTATACTGATCACATGAAATACCACCTGACAAATGTGAGAATGAATTCAAATTAACAGGTATTTTAGCATAATCTTTAAGGAAAGCACTTCGTTTTTCTCGATTTTCGTTATCTGTCAGAATAAAACCTTTTAGTTTAAAACTTTGGTTATGGAGTGTTGAAGATGTATTAATTATTACAATGTCATTTGCACAGTTTGCTTATGGAAATGGAAGATGGCGCAGCAAACATCAATTTTCAGTTTTGATCTCAATGTCATCGGGGTTCCATATCGATAAACTCTTGTACATTCGCTCGAAAAAAAATCGTGAAAAAATGATTGAGAAATCGCATATACAACATAAAATATGGAAATCAAGAACAGTAATCAAGCCCAAAAGTACATGAAAACGATGCAAGTCGGGAGCAGAGCAAACTTGGCCTCTAAAAACATCACATAGACAATGGTAGAAAATCATAGTTTCTTAACAGAGAGAAATCAGTACATGTATGTCAAACCATCCCTTGTCCTTGTAGAGTGTAATTAAAAAAAATAATGCGTTCTTATGCCTTCGATCTAATACGTTTCCGAAGTTTCAAATATTTCAACATCGCCTATAGATATCTATGCAGACGAGAGATTTTCAATATTAATTACATAATAGTGTACAGTTAAAATATTATATTCGTAGTAGATTATATGACTAGAGTACATTGCTGATATGTGCATTCAATTTAAATAAGAAAAAAAATCAAAAGATATATGTTTAGATTTTAATAAATTAGTAAATGATATACAATATAATTGAAACTATCAGAAAATATATACAATGTCCAATAACATAATTTGTTTGCAAAATTTAAACAATAGAGGATATAGCTCAAAAATAAACGTCTGAAAAAATAGCATCATGCAGAAAGACAGAAATTTTTGAATAAAGAAATCAGAAAACAGAACCTTTGGGGAACAAGAAATTGATGCATTTCTGGCTCACCCAGTTGACCAATTGCTATATGCTTTTGTCCTTTGTTGTGCATCTTTCATTGAGTCATATCGTGCCTTGTATGTGAGGCGTAACATTTTAAACGTTTTTACATCTACACATAAATCGCTGCAACAGCTTCAACTTATTTTATTTTGTTATATCTATGGATAAAGGGAAGCATGGGTTTCGAATTTTATAATTGTTGCCTCCCTGAGGCCCGAAGTATAGTGCCTAAACCATCACAATTAATGCATTTTAAATTTTAATGAATTTTAAACATCTTTAAAATTTTTAATGCATTTTAAACATTTTTAAAATTTTTATTGCATTTTAAACATTTTCTAAACTCCTCGACATCAAACAGTCAGAATGCTGGCAGGATTATAATAAACATTAAATAGTCTTCCTAAACGGTGAAATTCATTAACTTTTGTCAAAAGCTCTGGTTTTAAAGTGGGGGTCTCTTGAGAATATTTTGAAAATGTATTAATTTTTCATATTTAACAAAGCGTATGCTTTAATGATTATCAGGCGTGTCTTTACCTAAATTGCGAACTTGTTCCTGGGTAAGGGATTTTGAATTTAGACTGAGCTTTATTGAACATGATTGAAAATGCATTAATTTCCCTTTGGTCAACCACTTATAATAATTAATCGATGTAAATAATGCAAATGATAGGTCACTATGAAAAAATCGTGTAATTTTACAACAAAAATGTAATGCATAAAACAAAGTTCGATTATGGAATTAATTGTCATGTAGTCTCGTAAAAAAGTGAATAAACATTAATTTAAAATTCCTTATACTCTGTTTTTTATAATATAAAGACCAGGAGAGGCAAACCTAAGATCGTGGCTGGGTTATCTGTATATTTCTATAGTTTCAGGAAGAAGCTTTGTTAAGTAACAATTCGTGATTATGACAGATGGGTAGTAGTTAGCGCATATTCTAGGATACCAAGACGTTGTTTTAGGGTTTTTTTGTTGTTTATCTTTTATAACACTGCAATCTCCTATTTAACTTTTAATATTAATTGAATTGATTTGAACAGATAATATTAACTTGTTTTTAAGAGCACATACCACAAAAAAAAAAAAAATCGATACATGGATTGATATCTATTTTTTGACTGATTTTGAATGGAAATGACATAAATACTTGTTATTCACGCCGCGGCCATTTTGAAACGAGAACGAGGCTGACAGCGCAAACAATGGAGGTGCGTAAAACGAAACTAAACGAATGGAACCAAAATCTAAGTCTTATGCCCTGCGTTTCGCAGAGTAAAATTGATGAATAGGCCAACAGCGTAGCTCGCATACCAAGAGCGAAACAAATCAAGGGGTACTCAAATTTCATCGAAGGGTACATACACAACGTAGAAGGTTTGTGATCTATTATATCTATCTTATATTTATATCTGATAGTAATATCTTATCGTATTATTGGAGTAGCCTAACGATACTTTTTTTCTTTCTGAAAACCATATCTTGATTGTATACACTTATAATACTCATAAACTGCGATTGTTAAATCTAACCAGACTATATACGTTAAAAAAATCGACGATCAGTAATCACTAAGTGTTGATCGATCGATCGATCCATCAGTATATACTAGTAATCTGTTTGGAAGAGACTTTATGTTTAAACTTTTAAATAAAGTCCAGGCTGTTGGGAAGACGATTTTTATCAGATCGAAAGCGTATCCATCCATGAGGAAAAACAACCCACCTTATACTCAAATGGTTTGATGGTGTTCAAGTTGTTTATTTTCTTTGAACTTATGTTTACTTTGTTTGTTTGTGTTTTTTTTCCTCTCCAGAATTTCATTTAGCATCACAATATATATTTATGAACACATATACATGTATCAATACTGATAATAATATTTGATCTTAATGATTAGTACATAACTGTAATGATTAATTTGTTTTAAATATGATTCTGTCTCATAGCTATAATTTCAATTGACATAAATATATATAAATACATGTATATGTACCAACATTAAAACTAGGTCAAAATTTGATTATTGATTGATCGTTAATTGATTGATTGATGCAGGGAAGTACATGTATATACTAATACTAAAATACTTAGTATATGCATTCCTGATTGATGTATGTATAATTGTTACCATTCATAGCAATCTATGACATTTTTCAAACATTTAATTATAGACAGATTCTATCAAATAAAAAAATATAACTTGAGTTGGTGTATTACAGACTAAACATTTAGTAAACTTAATACTACTTAATTTTTTCTAATATTTTATTTTTTAAAATATTTTTGAATTTAAAAAAAATTCTTAATATAAATCGGGAAATACATATGTTGTTTTCATTGAAAATTTTGTATACTATTTATTAAGAAGTATTTTATCTCATATAACAGAATCCAATTTTAAAAATCAATTCATATATATCCAGGTGAAAATATCAGCAGATGCCTCTACAATCATTGGTTCAGAATGTGAGTGCAAAGCAGGGAATGGACACTGCAGCCATTCTTTAGGTCTTCTCTACCTGGTATCCCATTACCAGAAACTTGGACTAACAGGTTTGTACAAAATTTGAGCTCATAACATTTCAGTACAATGAAATTCACACACGGTACAGTTAACAATAACAGTATTTATATGCATGCTTGATTATATTTCTTGTTTCTATCACATTTGTTACACATTTACAGCTGTTCCACCAGTCCAGAGCAAGACATCACTGCCACAAACATGGCATATTCGCAGTAGAGTGGAAGGACTTGCTCCGAAATCTGTGGATAGTTTAGAAATTTCTAAAATCAAACCACAACAGGGTCCTCCCAAAAAGAAAAAGAGGGTCACTGAAGGCATTCTACCCAACATTTACTGCCCTGTTGAGAAACCCATCTCATCAGATTTCTCTCAGCAGTTGATCTTGAACTTGAAGTCTGTTGGAAGTGATGCGCAGGTAAACTAATTATTTTAAAGTTTAAAAACCATAAACCACTTGTACCATGTAACAAAGTAATTGCATTAATTATTAGAAAAGAATTGTGTTATTTAAAAAGTTAGCAATTTTAGCACAAGTATATAAAATTACAGCATTTTGAAAAATACTGTATTTTTGTACGTTGTTATACACATACTTATAAGTAATTTGTTTCTCTAGATTCTCAAAATTCTGCCCTCCACTTCAACACGTACAGTAGAATCAACATTTGGTCCAGTACCCTTTGGATGCCCATTGTCATACCAACAGAAATTAAACTCAACAATCACAGACATACTTAACCATCCAGATGTAATTTATCCCAATTTTCCACATCCAAATTTAGAACAGTCCTACAATGCAGTTTTACCTGAGAATCAACTAAACATGTTACTAGGAATGCACGTCACTGAAACAACCAGCAGAGAAGTGGAGGAGCAAACAAGACTTCAGAGTCACAACAAAACATGGCATGATGTCAGAAAAAACCGAATTACATCTTCAGTGTTTAAGGATGTATGTTCGCGCAGATCAGACTTTGCAGCTCTTGCTTCCAGACTTCTGAAGTCTAAAAACATAATGACGGCTCAGATGAAATTCGGCATAGAAAATGAGCCAGCTGCTGCAAAAACCTATAGCGAGATAACAGGCAATAGTGTCTATCTGTGTGGGTTTGTGATAAACCCTAGTGCCCCATATCTCGGCACATCACCGGATAGGAAAGTGTTTGATCCAAATGCAATTCCAGAGTATGGACTCCTTGAAATAAAATGTCCGAGCAAAGACTCGTTTACAGAGTGTAGATATCTTCTACAGAACAAGAACAATCATTCATTTAAACTGAGGACCAGTCACGGTTACTATTTCCAGGTCATTGGCCAAATGGCACTAACTGGACTGAAATGGTGTGACTTTTTTGTCAAGTGTAGACATGATTTTCACATGGAACGAATATCATTTGATCAGGACAAATGGGATTCAATGAAGTCTTCTTTGGACAAATTCTACTTTGAGGAAATGCTTCCACAAATATGTCACAAAGATTAAACAGTGAAAGCAGCATGTACATTGTGTTGTTAATTTTATTTGACATGGATTCTAACAAATACATGCATGTAATATTTTCTGTTACTGTAGAACAAGTAATTGTATATGTATGATTGTAGCACTAATATTAACTGAATGTGTCACTTTTATTATAATATTAATTGTATAGTCAATATAAACTGAATGTGAACACATGAACCCATTTACAGATTATATAAAATGCATAAATTTATATTTTATGTTAAAACAATTCAGCAATTGAATTAAAATCATTCTACACTGTGTGGGATCAATGCAAAACTCTTTCCTTTCCATTATAATTGTTTGCATAATATATAATTTATTTGTAATATCTTTGCTAGTCATATGATTTGAAGATAAATTTAAAATTATTTTTTGATTTCCCACTGTATACAGTAACCTTTGGAATCACTTTTGAAAATTTATTTCTCACTGAAACACATTTATATGTATCCATTTCTAGTTAAAAAAAAAGAAATTAATGTAACTTATTATGAATTATTTCATCATGATTGTAAATCATTGTCAATTCTTAACATTTGTAACCTTGACCTTCTTGGAGAGGACTTATATAGGCCATGCCTGATGTCCAATCCAATTATGTAAACTGACTTTACATAGTAAAATACTGATTAAATTAAATTAAAATATGTATTCTTTTATTAAATCTTTAATATATTTCAAAACAATAAACATTGATAAATGTTATTTAATTATTTTTCTTTGTATGAATCACTATGAAATATAAAAGATTTTACATATATGATCAGGTTTTCAATATGCATTGATTTAATTACTGATTTGCAAAAATGCTAATGCATGTAAACTCATAAGATCTGAATATAATTAAAATACATAATGTTTTTATTAACTCATTTCTAGTAGTTTTCTTAAAATAATGCTCCCCGAAAGTTTGTCAGAATAACACACACAGTCAATATTTGGTTGATTGATGGTGCAAGATTCAGGGGAATTATTCCGTCAAAAATGTGGTACTCCTTTACCCTTCGGATTACCCGTTCAACATGAATTCGAAGACGTGCAATTTCATGGGTTGTAGCAACCTCATTCCTGGAAAACTTCCCTTTTGCTCCTAAGAAAGGAGGAATAACTAGGCCAGCATTCTTGGCTTGCAGTAGGTCAGATATTAAAAATCCCTTGTCTGCCATGACATCATCATTCTCTTCAAGCAGATCAAGTATTGCAGATCTGGCTGTGATTTCTTTGTCGGAAATCCCTCCAGTGTATAGAGAGCTAACGAATGAAACAGTTCCACAGGGTGAAATACCAACAAGACCCTTGAATGTGGTGTGGCTTTTGTAGTTTGAGTAAATCTGTGAGTTAAGAACTTTTGAGCTAGGGGTTTGTACTTTTATCTCAGTGCAGTCAAGTATTACACGAGTAAATGGGTATGTAATTCTAAAACTTTCAGGCATGTTCTTATTCACAACACTTCTTGAAGGCCATAGAGGCAAACTGCCAAGCATAGCATACAGGTAGTTTGACCATGTGATCAAAATTCTGCTTATAGATGTTTGTGACACACAAAATCTAACCGCTAGATCTTGTTCAGGGAAGCCTTATCTAATTCTACAAAGGAAGACAAAGAATTCGTCAATCAGGGACAGATGATGACTTTCCGAACTAAAAGTTTTTTTTTTTTTTTAACTTTTTCTAAATCTGCTCCCTGTCTCTGCATCTGAGTCCATCGAATCATAGTTGTAGCTGTTGGTTTGAGAGCACTAAACACAGCTTTCAATGTTTGGTAATCTTTGAACCCTGTGTAGAAATTTATCATGTTGTTGTCATTGTGAAATCGTTCTAATCCAAACTTTGCCTCTCTTAGAGCTGCGTTCTCCTCCTCGAGTCGCTTAAGTTCTGCTTGAGCCGATTCAAGTTTCGAAGAATCTGATTCCTGTTGCACAACATAGTCATGGTCAAATGTTGCCAGTGGAACTTGTACAGAGTCTGATGCAATAACATTTTCATCCTTACCCTTTTCAATCTTGACTCTGAAAATTAAAATTAAAAAACTACAATTCATCAAGTTGTATTTAAAGATGATTATTAATATATATCAGGCATTTTGAGAGTATATGCACACACAGTACCAAAGTACAGATTTTATGTGCTGATTACATGTTGAGAAAATTTGGACAAAAGAATTTGTCGACTTATTTTTATTTTTCTTTCTAAATTTATTCTGAAAAATCAAATTGAGAAATTTCCTTTTGAATTAATAATATGAAGAAAGGTTTTATCATTTTGTTCTTGTAAATTAAAAAAACAAATTAGGTGCTTGTGCAAACATAACTAATCTACATGTACTTTAAATTATAACACAAGATAATTATATTACATAATAATTAATGAATAAAAGTGTGCAGAGCACACAAGGGCATTATTTGTAATCTGAATATAGAAAACACATTAAGCACACATGCAAACAGCTTAGCCTAACTTGATTTCCATAAAAACTTATTTTTATTAGTAAATGTGTGTATTTGACTGTCTAACTACCCCACCCCTCCCAGAGTCAGCTTATAATGTGTATATGTATCTATATATCTGAACACTGTCATCTCTTTATTTTTGTGATGCAATTTTCTTTGATTTATTGATACTCTAAGAGAACTTTAGTTATATTCTTCGCCGTATCGAGGTCAGGTGCGTTTACAATGTATTGTACTCTGTTGTACACGTGCAACAGGAGTGTACACATTATGTAAGATTTCATTTAATATTTAAAATATTAATGCGTTAGCCGCATAGAAATAAATTATTAATTATAACAGAACACATTTCTTCAACGAAAAAATCAAACTCGTTTGTGGTTGTCATGGTTGTATGTGCCACATCATGCATCATAAACATGTACCGATATAGGCCTACATGAGTGCATAGTGATAGTTGCCCTATAGATGCAAATGAAAGCATTACCTGGAAATTATTTCGTCCTATATCACGGCGAATTTTGACGATCCATTCTTTTCTTAATTCGTTGTCACTTGGAAATCGATGGAACGACAAGAGGTTCTTCTCGTCATAACGAGAATCATTCGTACAAAGTGGCACACAACAATGATATGCCGACATATTTGTTTGCGCTGAGAGCCTCGTTTTAAAACCGGATGTTGTCATGGGTGAATAGGAAGTATAATCAAAACCTAAAATATAAAGAAATTGTAATTTTTTTTTTGTGCTTAAGTATGCAACTTTGTATCGTTTTCTTTGTAATTCTATACAAAATTTGCACATATTTTTGACATTGTGACTCCATATTACAAAATACTCCCACTTTACTTGGAAAATATCATTCAGGTTACCTATTTGAACATTAATCTATGAGAAATATTGCTGATTTGTGAAAAAGGTTTGTGTTATTTATCCTTAAGTGCTCCGGCGAGGTACTCATTTCATATTAATACATCTAGTTAACCATATGTTATGACTGAATATTTACATTTGCTGTATTTTTCCACTAAGCCAACTGTAAAATTGGTTTGAATGCCATTTTCGTGTACACTCACGCGTAGAAATATGCACGGAGAAAGTGACGTCACAATGAGTTACAGAGACGTTAATAAAAATGTAACGATATAGGACAGCGAATAATTCAAACATTGAGTATATTTTTTCGTGCTTTTGAACATGTAAAATGTAAATATAAAGAATGTTTTAAAGTTTAGTGTGAATTATTGGTTTGTAAATCACACAGACTTGCACGAAGGCATATTTTTCATGAAGCGCTAACACGTTTCATGAAATATGTGACAAGTCTTTGTGATTTACATACCAATAAGTCACAAAAAACCTAAAAACATTCCTTAAAGGAATAAAGCATTAAATAATGACCAGAGGGTTAATCCCCAAACCCAACCCACCCCCAGAGTAAAAAAACATTTTAAATAGAATAAAATATTTTTTAAAAACTTTTCAGATTACCAAATTAAGTATTTTGAAGATCGTTGATCGTCCTATTATTCTAGATTTGAGCAACATCTCTGACTCTAACAGTTTAGAGGATAATTTATTCCCTTTAGCCAATTGCAATTTAAACCTTTGGTTATTGTCAGTAAAATAATAAATAGAAAATAAAAACTGGGTTGCCTTCTTGATCTAAGGGGTTGTCAGAAACAGGAGACGGGTCATGGACTGAATGTCAAACCATGTTCAGACGTCTGAGCCTGTCAGGCGAGTAGGAGGAGTTTTATTTGTATACTATTTGTCTGCCAGATACAACCATTCCACTTTGTATAC